CAGAACAAGGCAAGCCAGAGTGGTGACACTGATCCCAAGTGAGTCCAGCCAAGCCAAGTGGAGCCCAGCAGGGTGGTAGGAAGAGGCAGCAAAGCGGCAGATCCCATTCCCACACACATGCCCAGCGTGGCAGGCTGATGGCAGCGGCAGTGCCAAACAGAGCTCTGCAGGGACAGAGAGACACCCATCACCATCACCACTGCCACCATCCCTGCTGCAGAGAGGGAGCAGGAAACTGCCACTGCAGGTGCACAGCTGCTCCAGGCAGCACCAGCAGCCCCCATCTACCATCAGAACCATTCTGTAAGCCCTCGCCATCCTGTCTTTGTTCCAGCAGCCCCATGTGACACTTCACCTGTGTTGCTTAAGCCATAAACCCTTTTGCACAATTTTCTTCTTATTGTTGTGCACTGCTTTTTATTTCCTCACTACACTGTAACTCTAATAGTAACCTCCATTGTGATGGGGCTGAGAACATGTCAGGGAAAATATTTTGCTCCCAGCGCTCTAACTTTTTTCTTGATTCAGTCTTCTGTTGTATTTTTGATAAGGTTTAATAAACCATTCTGATCTTTGAAAAGTGAGTAGCTATTTCTCACAATGTTGATTGAATCCTGCCCTAAATTTTTTGTGCCTTTAAAGTTCTCTGATTTTCAAATGTTGCCAGTGAATATTTCTTTGTTGTTCTGAATTCTTGAGAACTTCTTGTCATATTCCTCCCATTTTTCTAACTCAGAGTACATGAAAAAGTTTAAGTCCTTTTAAAGTGTCTTATAGAGCAACGTTTTTGGGGCCTTACATTTTAATTGGCACAGCAAGCAGGGTACTCTTGAGGTGACTTGTGCCTTTTACACAGCAGTAACTGCTCGTGACATAATAAAGGAGAAATAAATTTTTGGTCAAAGCTGCTCTTTTCTGGCAGCAAATTAATAGAATCCTATGTAGAAACTGATCTGAACTGCTCTCCACTGACACACTTGTTAAAAGCTCATATAAAAAGCTTGTCAAGCCCTAAGGAGAGATGGGGACTGAGAGAAACTAGCACCATCCACAGTTTCTTGTGGAGAAATCATGAACTTTGGTAGAAGAAAATGAAAAATTCCCAGTAAAGGACCATGCCTGGTATCCATATACCAGGAGGTTTGAGTCGTAGCTGTAGGGTGCCCATCAGCTGGAAAAGGAGCTGCATCAGCTGCAAATTGCCTCAGAGCCTGAAACAATAGCCAGCCTCAGGCCAGAGCAAGAATTGAATGCCAGGATGAAGCCAGCCCCCACACCATGAGAAATCAGTTAAACATGTTCCTCCAAAGCCAAAGAGGTTTAGAGTTGCAATTTAACAGTGCTGGGAAAGGTCTAGAAGCAGTGTTTTCCAGACTCCAGGAACAGCAGGGCGTTCCTGACTGCAAGGTCAGCCCCCAGCCCTTGGGAGGACTTTAGTGCCTCAAAGTCCAACCCTGCCCCTCACCCTAAACTCTGCCTGCCCCTATAAAATACAGAGGCGGGACGCCCCGAAGATGATGTCACCTTCCTCTGCTCCCTAGACAAGAGGTTTGGGTCTGCAAAGCCAATCTTCTTTCCTCCTTCTCATCCCAAGCCCTGCCTGCTGATAAAGGAGGAATTTGCTTATCAGGATGGACTGTCTGGCAGTGCTACCTCATTCTGCAACAGAAGTGGTAGAAGTACAGGGGAAAATTAGCAATGATCCCAAAGAAAGTGAAATGGAGCATGTTTGGAGAATTTGGCTAAAGGGGTGTGGTTAGGAAATAAATATTTTTGAGATAAAGAAAGCACATGGTGAAAAGCCCTGGTCTTTTGCCTGGGAAACAAGCTGTGGTGTGAAAACTTTGGACCCCTTGCAGGGGGGAGAACCCCAAGCAATGCATGAGAAACAGCTGATGCCCATTGACCTTCTTCTGTGTTATTGTAATTTATTTCAACATTTGAGGATCAAAACTGAGAAAACAAAATTTTGGCACCACCTCCAAAAAGTTATGGTTGTTGATAAAGGGTGGTGAATTCAAATATTCCAAGAGGCTCTCTGGGGAGAAAATGTGGAATAAATTGAGACTCAGTTTGCCTGGATTCTTAATGAAGCTTTGCAAACTGCTCCTGCCCTGCCTCCTTCTGGTAGAACTGGCTGTTGAGCCTTGTCTTCCACCAGAGGCAGGAGGCCAAAGTGCTGCTGCTAGAGCATCTGTGACCCTCAGGAGAAAATGCTTTTGTCATCGTGCAAGTTTGTTGTTTTGGTCTCACTAATAACCCTGAATGTTCAAGTATATCCTCACCAGTCAGGAGACTGGGTGGATGTCCAGGCCTGGAATGGAGAGCCACTTAACCAGAAGCGGAAAGACTTTTGATCCCATGGCTGTGAGATTTACAGCTGAACACTCCTAAATTATGTGATTAAAGTTAGCTCTGGACACACAGAATTGTATTGGACAGTCCAGTAAATGTAATTCTGCTTCAGATAAAGCTGCAATGGAACATTTCTAATGTGAAAAACATTAAATGGTTTCTCTTTCTGCCCATTTCCAGAGCAGTGTCCCTGGTATGGCAGCATGGCTGTTTGTTCCTGAATTAGTCAACCATCCTAGCAGGACCTTGTAGCTAATGACTACAATAGCAAGTATGGCTTTGAGTGCCAGAGGGGTAAGAGATTAAGAAAGAAAAGAGAGCCATGTTCTGTCCCCTAAGGACCTCTAACATCACACACATAGAACAAATGCTACCTCATGCTTGGAAAAGAAATTTTGGTTTCTGGACTTCAGTCCAAATTTGCACAATAGAATGTTACAGAATGTGTAGATCCGACAAAAACCCCATGTTACCTAAAACTGAAAAGGTCTCAAAAGGATGGTTGGCTACCTCTAACTTCAGTTTGCCTACATGGTGCTATGAATCCTCATCATACTGTCAATGCAGTGGGTAATTTAAATAAGATAATTTTTCCAAATTAGGTTTATTAGTGATTGTGGCTTTCTTGATGTCTTCTAAATTTATTTTTACTGACTTTTATTGTTGGCTTGATTAAAGCATCACCAAACTTTCTATGGCAGAGAACACAGAAAATACCAAGTAGATAGTTCCTCTGTATGAAGTAGTGTCCTAGGTTACAATATAAAGATGCATTCTATTCCCATCCTCAAGAGCTGTTGAAACAAGGAAGGGCATTGTTTTTTCCTTATCTCCTGCTAATGGGCCCATCAATGCCTTTCCCATGACTCCGGGAAAACTCCCTCCAGGAGCCATTTCTGTTTAATGGACCCACCACATGACTCACAGAATGATAACAGCCCACTGTGAGATGCTCCACCCAGGGGTGAGGAGCTAAGCATCCCCACCTGGATAGAATCTGGGATTTAGGACACAACAAATCAGTCTTTCCACTGGATTCCCAGAGGAATGGCCGTCTTTTCCACTGGATCTTCAGAGGAAGACTACACCCTTTCTGGAGGATCACTGTAGGATCACTGTTCCAACAGAACCACATTTCCCACTGCTGGAGGACTGCCTGGTCCAGTCCAACTGGACTGCTACCAACACCCTGACCAACAGGGTGTCAGGTTGTATTCTGACTTCGCTGGTGGTTTTTCTTTTGTAATATTGCATGTGGTTTTGGTTTTCCTTTTCCCTTTTCCTAATAAATTGTATTTCTGACTTGGAGTCTCTCCCTGGTTTTGCTTTCAAACCAGAACAAGTAGGTCCAAGTGGGACTGAGTTTTCTTCTTTGAGAGATGTTTCATGGAAAGATGAAGTGGTGACAGGACTGAAGAATTGCTGTTCTTCACTGCAGCCAGTATTTACATGTTTTTATCATGCTAAGTTTTAAGACATTCATGTTCATATGTTTTATATAAGTTTGTTGCAAGCAATATTTTTAAATGTTTGTATTTTCTCTCTGGTTGCCACAGTGGGTGGGGAAGATTCCTCACTAAATTTATCTTAGGCAAATTTTTAGACCACTTCCCAATTCATCAGAGTAAAGCACAAAATTACTCCACCAAGGCAACTGCATGTAGTAATGGTAGGTGATGTGTAGAGTGTGACTGTGCAGAAGAAAGGCATGTGGAACTGTTGGTGGCCCCCGGAAACAGGGAGAAAAGGCGCTGACAGAGGGGCAGAGGTGGCAGCTGGAAAGCTCTCTCCAGATGTAGACAAAGAGGCATAAGTGGTTAAGCTGATAAAAGAAAAGAAAGATTTTGGGTTTGAGACCCACCGAACGGTTACGTAAAGTCAGGAATGGTATTTGGCCTGAACCCAGTACCCTGACTGAAATGATATGCTGAGGAGGTTGGAGTCTCATGAGTTTTGTTGTATCTTTGACCCCTACCCTTGAGGCGTTCCAGATTATTAGGACTCTTAAGTCATTTCAGATGACTTTGCTGAGGAAGGTTGCTCTGCTGTCATTTTCTGAAACACAGTGAAATGCTCCCTCTCTGGGTGCCTGTTCCCTCTCTGCCCCACAAGACAGCCAAAGTGAGCGCATTGCCAGCAGGAGGGGCGTGCACGTGGGGGATATCCTGGGGAGAGATGGCCAGCATGGAGCACTGCTATTGTGATGCCAAAATTCTGGTGGGGAGAAAGCTTCTTGTGGCTCATGTGCAAGCTGAGCTTCCTCTCCCCTTTCAGATCCTTTCAGAGTCTAGTGCTCTGTCAACAGTGCTTCATTTCCATGATGGAATTCTGAAGTCCTTTCCAAGAAGATTTGCCTGAAAGAGAACAGGTCTGGCTTGCAGGGTATTGCTCT